ATTAAATACACCTTAAAGTATAGATTACAATAACCTTGGAAGTAAAGCATGCCATTAGTGTTGAATTATTGTATTCGGATTCGAGTGAAAAATGAAATGGAAAACTGCTACGTACTGCAATATTTTTTTGGTACGTCTGGTACAGCAATATTTTTATTGTTCTAAATATTGTGACCTCGAACTTGTCATCTTGGTGAGGTTGCTCGAGGTAGTTCTTGCGCAACGCCGTTGGTTACTGCTTTCTGCTTCCTCGAGTTTCTTTCCTTGCCACTTTGCCTTCTTTCCATTCATTCATCCGCTAAAAGATCGGCACGATTTCTACCCAAATTTTCTTTCGAGGAAGAGCTTTGCGCCAGCCAAGGAGTCCATTTTGACTACAAACTCAAAAAATCGAGTATAATAATATCCATTAGGATTTAGGACTGAACCCCACAAACCTATGGTCTCATGACTTTTTTAGATTAATTTATTTACTATATTAAAACTAATCTTTATTTATAATTTTTTAAAATCATATCCTTAAAATACAAATTAAAAATATAATTATTATACATTTTCTCATTAAGTTATACTCCTTCTTCCTAATCTTAATCATATGTATAGAAGAGTAGCCCAAGTAAGAAAGTTCTTCTAGCAAAAACCTCATATTAAAACAAAAAGAAAAAAATTTGAATGCTTGATATAAATTACTGTACTTTATTTATAGTCAATTTATTTTTAATTAACTATTTTTTAATATGTTATTTAAAGATGTAATTAATATTTTTTTTTATTAGTTGGTATTAAAAATTATAAAATTTAATATTAATTTTTTTTATTAATATCACATAAATTATTTTAATTAAATAGTAGATTAAATAAAAGTTAATTTTTATTTTTAATATGTGCTTTTTAAAATATAAGTTATGAAAACCATTAAAATTTTTATCCTCGAATGTTTAATTTCAAATGCTCTTTAATTGTGGTCCCAAAAGAAAGGGTGTTGTTAAGTGTCCACATTTGTTTTCACAGAATGACTAAAACAATGGAAATGAACGGCTCGTTTCAGTGTAGTGGTATTGAATTTTGAGTTAAAACAATGCACATTCGAGTCTCATGGAATCATTTTCTCCATTTTCTCAATTAACTTAATAAATAATTACAAATTGTTCAAAAAAAAAAAAAAAAACCAATGGCATGAATGATGAGGCGGCATGATTAAGTGTCCCTGCAAAGTTAAACTTCGAGATATCACCAAATGCGTATCTGGTTTTATCCCAATTTAATGAGGAAGAGGCTAGGAGAGCAAGTGCTTGCGTGCAAGCTTGGGGTGTATGAAAATAAATCGCACGTCTTAAGTCTCAACGTTGCTTACAGTTTGCAAGCACCCTAGCTAGACACAGCATGTTCCCACAGGATCATTCAACACAGCACCGAAGTGATACACGAACATAAGTGAGGCTGAGGTCCCCACTCAAGTGTCCCATTAATCACCACACGAGCTAATTAGGTCCTGTCAACTCTTCACTCCCCACCACCAAGTTAGAGGTACCACTCAGGTATGCGTCCCTGGATAATACTTTTGAGATTAATTAGTCTAGCATGATAAAACCAGCTTTGGCAAATTATTTGATGGTACCATGGTAAGTCAAATTAACAGAGGCAGGCTGGTTTGTTAGTAAGGGTGTGATTAGGAAGTCAGTTAAATTTTGAGATTACTTTCTTCTTAATTTAATAAAGAGAAATCATTTATATTAAAAATAAAGTATTTATATAAAAAAAATTAAAATATTTTTATGTAAGATGTATTTAGATATTCAATTATAATTATATGATATATAAAACATAATATAAATTTTATTTTTATTAAATTATTATTAAATATCTTATCACTTTTTATGACGAGATGTGTTAATTTTTTCACTTTCTTAAAAAAAAAAAAACCATTGCCCTTTCGTTAATCTCTTCTTCAATAAAAAGAGTGCAAACTTTTTTTGCCATTTAAGCCACTATTCATTCGGTCAATAGATTTCATTTTGGCAAACGGATGCAGGCTAAGCCTGAGATTAGGGATTCTTCAGTCTTCAACCCATACCCCAGCCCCAGCCCCAGCCCCAGCCTGCCTTGATATGCATCAAACAATACCAAAACGACAACTCCGCTGGTTCCCTAGTACATAATGACCAAAACACCCACCTTCTCCTTGAGCCCCTCTACGTGTTGTCACTATCTTTACTCCTCTCATGTGCAGGCGCTAGCCCCACCTCTCCCTCTGGTGTAAAGTATTATGATATACACTTCTTACTTTCACTTTCACCAAACCCCCTCATAACTCCATTTTCTTGCATCCCCACACCCAACTTGCTAACCTGCGCCTTTATAAACCTCCCCAACACAAATTTTATGCATCACAAAAACCCAAAATTTCTTCCGTCTTTCCAGATATTTTGTAGTCTTGTGGGTTTAAAACAGTGAAAAGAACAGACACTGAATTGCAGGGCAGCATAGACTTGATCAAATTTGATGGGTATGCTGGTGCTGTTGTTGCTAACTTGCGCGGCGCTTCCCTTTTCTTCATCAGATCCAAACGACGAGGTCTGCTTAACCCAGTTGAGTCAATCCCTCAAAGACCCACTAAATAATCTCCATAACTGGACCAAATTCAACTTCGCTAATGCCTGCAACGGATTCACCTCCTACTTACCCGGCGCCACCTGCAACAATGGTCGCATCTACAAGCTTTCCCTTATTAGTCTTTCTCTCCAGGGCACCATCTCTCCTTTCCTCTCTAATTGTACCAATCTCCAGTCCCTGGACCTCTCCTCCAACTCAATCTCGGGACCCATCCCCCCAGATTTGCAATCCTTGGTCAACCTGGCGGTTTTGAATCTCTCCTCCAATCGGCTCGACGGGGAGATCCCTCCACAGCTCGCATTCTGTGCTTACCTAAACGTCATTGATCTTCACGACAATTTGCTTTCCGGGCAGATTCCTCCGCAGTTGGGTCTCCTCGTACGGCTGTCTGCTTTTGATGTTTCGTTTAATAAGCTTTCTGGGCCCATTCCTTCTTCTCTGGGTAACAGAAGTGGGAATTTCCCGAGATTCAATGCCACCTCTTTTCAAGGTAATAAGGATCTTTATGGGTACCCTTTGCCTCCTATGAAGCCCAAAGGATTATCGGTTTTGGCCATTGTTGGGATCGGACTCGGAAGTGGGTTCGCCAGTTTGGTGCTCAGTTTCACCGGAGTGTGTATATGGTTGAAGATTACGGAGCAGAAGATGGCTGCTGAAGAAGGAAAGATTAGTCAGCTTATGCCTGATTATTGAGCTAATTAACATAAGATCCAGGTTTAATCAGCTCAAATACAAGGTTTGAGTTTTTTAGGTATGTTTCCTTCTTTTTTTTTTTAAGTGACGTTTGGGTTTATCTTATGCCTTATGGTTCCCAACTTCCTCTTGAATTTTTTGGGGCTTTCGATTTTGTTTTTAATATTTTTTTTCCTAACCATTTTAGGCCTTTTTCTTTTTCCATAATATTTATTCTCAACAAATGTATAAACCGATTCAAATTGTGCAGTTTCTAATTTCTCAACCCCCGTATTACATCTTTCTAATAATGTGATTACTTACTATTTTTATATCTAAAGATCAGAGATTAAAACTTAAATATGTACTTAAAAGCACAAAGCACAAGTAACTCTATTATGATTGATGGTAAAAACTAAGAAAAAAAACTCATCATTTACAGGAAATTGGAACGAGTCGCGTGGCCTCAGCCTTTACTACCCCTTACTTGCACTTGTTCCCTCTTTACTCTTGCTGTCACCACCACTCACCAGAGTTGTACAGAAAAGAGTGTTTGTGTGACATGTCGAGCCAACTAGAGGTTAACCATTACATGTAGGGGTAATTTGAGGTTTTAGCTAACTGATAGTGATAAGTTGTTCTTAACAATTAAATTAAATTGTGCATAGTTCTTTATGTGATGTTAATAATTATTTATTTGGTTATAACCATAGTCGAGGATTGGAGCTAAATTTTTTATTTAAATTTAAGTTTGATTACATTTTTATTACTAAGAAACAAAAAAGAATTAAAAAAAAAGTCAAGTATATGATTATAAGAAATTTTGTTTTGGAATTTAAATTTTATCAAAATGTAAAATAATGGGGGAGAATCCCTTAATGGGAGGGAGTCTTTGATATTAAGGGACCTAATTTGTATACAATAATTAATATTGTGTATTCTAATATAATTAAATTACATAATATTTTTTTTATTAATATACTTTTCATAAATCTAAAAAAAAAATTAAAAAATAAAAAAAATATTAAGATCAAAGCGTCAAATTGAACCGAATTAGACTGGACCAGTGCAAATAATATACACAGCCACAGGCTTGTAATATTCCAAAACCAGGTCTCCTTCTCAAGATTAAGACCAAAATCCTCCTTTTTCGACCCGAAACCAGCCTGTAAGTGTCCCTAATTCATGGGGCGAAGCATTGAACCGAGGAAATTTGGCTGGAGGTAGTGCTAAAAAGTGGCGGACCTTGTAATATATCCTGAAACTGAATGCATTATTGCATTTATTAAAAATGCGCTCTGCCTACTCTAGCGTTTCTTGTGCTTTTCTATGGTTGCTGTTGGGGAGACCACCACTCTCACATGCCGTGAAAATTGTCTGCTTTTGTAATTTCTTTAAGAATTTCTTATTTTACTGTTAGGAAAAAAATCTTGGGGGTGAGACGTAAACATATAAACAAATTAAATTAACAAAAATATTATGGTATAAT